TGGTCAGGTGATATTGTCAATGGTGAGATATACTCATCATTTTGATTAGGCTTGACTAGAGAATCCTTCTTGTCCATTTTCAATCGCGTCTCATATATCAAATCTTCTGTATATTACTTCAATTAGATGTGAACCGTCAATTATCAGCCTTTATGTGCCTATCATTGGCAATGTCTCTATTCCTTAGTGCATCACCATCAGCTTAGTTCTTCACGATTTTTGATGATCCAATTAGGAGAGAGAGGATGGAGGAAAAAAAAAAAAAGGAAGATCTGACATGGAAACAGGAGAAAAAACAAACAAACTAGGCAGCTAACGCGTCAGCAGGTAGGTGCAACTGGGCGCCTGCGTCTCCAGCACGTGGAGTAAGGCAGAGACCTTTGTTTCCATTTCAGTCGCAGTGGGCCCTACAAAATTCTTGTACTTGCAGGAGAAAAAAATACCAAAAAAATCCCATCTCCTATTTGTGCAAAAACTACATATACACTTGATTTTTACTATTTCAAAAACCAAAAAAAAAAAACATTGATGGTGATGCTCTTACGTTTTACTAACAATTTCCATAGAATGACACACATGACCATTGGTCAATGCATATTGTCCTTGGAAGTTGTCTTAGGGTAGTCTCTTCAATTTCCATAGATTGATTTATCCAAAAATATATTGGGCATGTTTAGTTATTGACGGATCTACTAATTTTAACGTTTTAACCATAGTCAAAACAACTGAAAATTCAAACGCTGCTTTAAACTCAGTGTTTTGGAAAAATTTATATTTTCATAATTTACCTCAAAATACCCAAAAATTATATTTTCATAATTTACCTCAAAATACCCTTACTTTTAATTATTAAAAAAATTGAGAAGCCTTTACGTTTTCTTAAATGAGAGCCTTTCGGCTTCTCAAAGCAACCAACAACATTTACATTTAGAAGAGGAATATTGCTCATCTTATATAGAGGAGCTTAAGAGTTCCTCTTCCAAACATTTTTTAGAGTAAATACCTAAAATAGTCCATCGGCTATAACTAAATTCAACTACATATACACTTGATTTTTACTATTTCAAAAATCACAAAAAAAAGCATTGATGGTGATGCTCTTACGTTTTACCTAACAATTTCCATAGTATGTATGACACACATGACCATTGGTCAATGCATATTGTCCTTGGAATTGGAAGCTATCTTAGGCTAGTGCATGTCTTCAATTGTCAACAAGTATTACACATATTTAAATTTTAATATAGCATATATAACTGTTCCGTTTATAATAATTATTAAACCGACATACGTTAATGATTAGTAGTAATGTGTATCAAATATCTGTATAAAAGTACAAATAAAGAGAATGAGAAGACACACCGTCCATATTAAAAATCACATTTAATTTCTTTGATTCATCATTTACCAGTTAGGCACAAGAAAAGTCTTCTAAGTTTATAATAAACTAATTTCAATAAAATCAACTAGTTTAGTGATAGGGATTAAAATTTTCAATGAACCTTAGTTACTAAAGATAAAATTTATCCTACTTAATAAATACAGAATATTAGGCTTACCGACATAATCTTCGATCATATGTATCAACGTAACAAAGTATATATTACAGAAGTCACATGTTTTTTTCTCCATAATATGAAGGAAAGTAGATGGAAATTCTTGTAAAGCGCCACCAAACTTCACCGCATGTAGACGACGGCGGTGCGACCGCGTATATGATGAAGCACGTGAGAGTGAAGCGCAACCCACCGAACAGAGGCCTGAGGATTTGGACAAGAGGTTCGGCCCGTCAAATGCGGTCAGTAGTGGTGCACCAGTCAGTTTCACACCTACATTGTCTCTTGGGAGTGTGGGTCCCTTAGCTAACATGATCATGGACCCCATTTCATCTGGGCCCACAGATCAGCCAGCCTTGATTGGGCCTCCTTTTCACGCCCCAGCCGTTATTCCACAGAGTTCTATACATGTACACTTAAATTTTACTTTTTTTTGAATACAATGTAATTTTTAATATACAAATGTATTATTTGATAGTATGGTTCATACAGCTGACCATAAAAAATAAACAAAATATTTTTTTTAGCATAGTGACATAAAATACTTATTTTCTTGTTTCAATTTTGTCAAATACTAGACAGAATATTGTTTTCACATGATGTAAAAGACACACCAGTTGGTGTAGTCACCACTAAATCAAAGAAGATCTGGGCAGCACGCAGGCATCACACTCAAGACCTAATGGTCCATGATGAGCATGAGAATTGACAAGCAAGTGAGTTTTTCTGTACGATTTTGAGCTGTGATTTCATGGGGGGAGATTTAGTGGGCATGCAAGCTCAACAAATAATGATTTGAAAGATTCTGTACATTGAAAAAATCTTTCAACAAAACGAATAATTTGTACTAGATGACAAAGAGAAAACCAATAAAAAAAAAGGGTGTCATTGTCACTAAAGAGGCCAGTTGGTAGCTTTGTTACTGTAACCTTTCCTGCTGCTAAGAAGCCACGGCTCGTGCCGTTTTAGAGTCAGTAGCGAAACCTTTGGTATGCAAACGACAAGATGATGTTCTTTAGCTAAATTTAATGTACATTTATGTATTCTATTTCTACGTGATGAATTGCTGCTTCTACTTTTGCCTTCTCCAACCTTCCATGTATGGGCGTCATGTCTTGTCGATCAGCGGCCCATTGATTCCTCAAACATGGGCTAAAGACTTGCCTGAGCTCCCCTAACAGGCAAATTATGCTGTGAAGGTGGGCACGGTTCCATATTCATAATTTCTATACCTTAGATTCATAATTTCTATAGTGTAGATTCATAACTTCTATACTGTAGATTCATAAAATTTATACTTTAGATTTCAATTGTTGAACTCTGTTTTCACAAATCAGAGAACTATATGTTCATAATTTGATAACTATACATTTTAGAAATTATAAATTTACAATACAGAAATTATGAATATACAGTACATATATTATGAATCTGCAATATAGAAATTGTGAATCTACTGTATAGAAATTATGAATCTACTTATTTAAATTATGAATCTACGGTATTTAAATTATGAATCTACGGTGTAGAAATTATGAATCTAAAATATAAATTTTATGAATTACAATATAGAAATTATGGATCTACAGTATAAAAATTATGAATCTACAGTATAGAAATTATGGATATTGAACCGTGCCCACAACATAACGTTCCCCCTTAACATGTATTTCATCAATCATTATTACATGGACCATGATCTACACAGTTGCGTGAACCATAAATAAAACGAATATTTTTTATATACGAAAAGTACATTATTTGTGTAAGTAAAGTAAATTATTTAATATACATACATCCCGTACATAATAATGTATTTTAAGTATATTAAAAATGTATATTATATTCATGGTCCACACAAAAATTTGCTGTATTCCATCATCATTGTTGAAAAATTCATCATTATCTTTTAACGTTTCTTATCGACATAAAAAAATGTAAATTATATCATGAACTATTAATGTCCATTTTTATGTTCTGAATATTCATTATTTGGTAGTATAGTGAATAGATGGTGTATTCGGACTCCGGTCGACTTTGTTCTTATGAATTGGTCGGACCACTGGCCGTCGACTATGGTGCAACATGGGTGGCCTTCAGAGGCCCAAAATCAGTACGAATAAGGCGGATGTCCACAATATGTAGCTTAATATGAATTTATTACCTGATATAATTCTATTTAATATTCCCAGGATAGTTGAATGCTACGAAGGAAACAATCCACGCAGTAATTTAGTGCGGATTGGTGGGACAAGAATGTTGATGATGGTGCCAAAGAATTTTAGTAATCCTAGTACTGAAAACACAGCAGGCTTTACGAAAAGTGAAAATGGGCCATTCATCGTACACACCAAAATGTCAATGAGCCTGCACAATGAATAGGAGAACAAGAAAGCGTAGGTGAACAAGGTTAGCCCAACAAAAATGTAAAGTGGTGCTCTATGACCTTTCATGAGCTGAGGAAACCATTCTTAGAGCATTTATACTAGTTGAATTTTACACAATTTTTAAGAAGTTTAGAAGAAAATAGGAATGGTTGAGAAAAAGAAAAGGAAAAACAAAGATATTTTTTTAAAAAAAATAAACACAAAAACTTCATTTCAGTCAGTTAGTGGAAAATACGTGTCCGGTAGGACGTGAAGTGTGCTTAAACGCTCTATGCTGGCGTTCTTTTTTTCTCCTGCGAAAAACATTGTTTGGCAGGAGGAAAAATTGGTCAAAATCACCTACTGAATTTGTTACTGTTCTAAAAATCATGCAAAATGCACTGCTATGGATGCTGTTAGGGTTGCTAGACACTTTTTTTTTTCTTCCAGTCTATATCTTATTATGTGACATTATTTAACTAGTGGTAGAGTCAGTCATTTTATAGTACGTGCTGTACGGAGTACCCAATGATGGAAATCACATCAAGAAATGAAATATATGAGAGAGAAAATTTAAGAGAACTATTTTTTCCATTGAGATGTGTGTGACGTGGTCGAGAGGAGTGACTAAACTTACTGGCCAATGATACCTGATTGTAATTTTGAGTTTGCATATTCAATTTTGTATTTTTTTTTTAATTTGAGTGACAAGAGAAATCTATTGTCACTATCTGTGAATATGTATGTGATAAATATTGCTTTGTCACCCTAATCGTCAAAGGATCCCATAAATCAAACTCATAGTTGAACATCTCAAATCAAAAAGGTCAATTGCTTACTCTCGTGAAAAGTCAAGTTTATAATAGCCTAATTAAGTTGGCCACAGTTAATTATCTATTTTAATTATACCATTTTCCCATTAATTGGTTTGTATACAGCAACAATTTTCAGATACATAATCTCTACTTGTCCAAAAGAGCCGAAAAGCAAAATGAGAACAAGAAAATGTAAAGAAACATGGATCTCAATGTCTGCCGGTCTCCGGTAAATTAAAGAACCATTCCGCTATTTTTCCGATTCATTCCACAATCTCCGGCGACAGTTTCCCACTAGGTTTCTTCTGCTTATCCGCTCGGGAGTCCAACCACAATACGTTTGAAACTTCCTCGGAGCTCCACCCGGCTTGTCGGAGCGAATCCGATAAACGATCCGCTTTGACTAGGAGAGCGTCCAGCACCGCCTGGTTGTCTAATAACGCCATTTCGCCGGCGATGAATGGACACGATGAAACTTGTACGATCTCGGAGACGTCGGATTCGTCCCACCCGCCTTGTTTCAACGCCGATCCGATCTGTTCTATGTACTTTTCTACCCATTTTGGCGTTTCGGATCTGGGCATGTCAAAGTTCTGGTCGGGTGACGTGGAGGACGAGGAATTAGACGTCTTTTGCCGCCAGTCAACGGCGGCGTCGCTCCAGAACTCCACCCATCGCGGCGTCAGTCCACGGCCTGGAGTGTCGAGACTTTTCCTTGATGACATGGCGGTCCGGGCTGCTGCTCTAGCTGAGAGACGCCGCAGACCCGCCAAGTGAGCCTGGTTTAGCCCGGCCATCTTCCGGTCAACGTCCACCATCGCCGCTGTTTCAAGAACTACTTTTAGCCAATCAAGTACAATAACGGTAACGGTAATACAGAAAAAAAAAAAAAAAAAAACTATTCTTTGTCCCTGTAAATGGAGAGGGAGACATGGAAATATGAAAAAGGAAAAGAATGTGATGAGATGGTAAAGAAAGCCCAGCTTTTATAGCAATGGCAGTGGAGTAGGGGCCGCCATGAGATTTCTCTAAGAATCTCTTTCTCCATTGCCAATTCCTTCTTTTTTAAAATAAATTTTTATTTCTGAATAATTAGGAAACCCGCAGCCACTATGAGACACTGGTATAGTCTTATAATTCTAACAGACAAATGATCACAAAAAAATAAATCAGCCTAGTAGATAAATCAGTTTATGTTACCTAACTGCTTAGTACAAAGTTAGCTACCAAATAGTTTGATTAACTTGGTTGGACTACTCGATCGGACTAATTTTAGTAATAGATACACATGCATGGTTTCTTCCATTTGACTAGAAGAACATGTTGCTAACTACAGAAACATGTGGATTACTTAGCCAATTAAGCAACCAAACACGTAATACCACACAGAAGACAACCGAAGCGCATCAAAGTTAAGAGGAACAACGACACGATTTTATGAACGTAGAGCTGCAAAAGTCAAGGCTAGAGATGCCGTTAAACTGTCACTAAACCCTGCAGCCATGAGGTTTAAGAAAAAGTAGAATGATTACAAGAACATGTGATCAATGTTAATTGAGAAGTAGCCAAGCACATATGTGCAGATCGAGCTGAGGGCGACGATGGGTGACACGATTTCCGACATGCAAAACCTGCTAAGTGCGTAGGGGCGCCTTTGAATTCTTGTCCTAAATCGATCTCTCCCACGTTGATAGTGTCGGGGAGTGTATGTATATAGGGATCCCGTTCTTGGTTTAAAGCTGGATTATTTGGGGCGTGTGGTTCAAATGGGTCGCTTTTCTAGTGAAATTGACCACAGAATTGAAAACTATTTCCCATTCGTCAAACCTAACCTAAAAAGCTAACTTGATTTGATCAATCACTTTATAACTTGATTTGATCAATCACTATATATATAATTTAAAGAGGGAAAGTATGTAATTGTTATTCAAATTTAGACTTTGATTGAAGTTAGCTTTGTGATTCTAATTCATCAAAACTCACAAAAAGTAAACTAATTTATTATATTGTCCATAACTGACTAATCACTACATACTATTTTAGACATTCAATAATTGAAACATGTGCTCCATCTCAACTAAAAGCCTAAGCTAATAGTTGGATACACAATCCATGACCTTTGGTCTGACTCTGATACCAAATTGAAACATGTGTTCCATCTCAACTAAAAGCCTAAGCTAATAGTTGATACACATTAATGGATATATGCTCACACAAATAATGTTATCCCTAAATTTTTGCGAATGCTAGTATCATATAGCTAGAGTTGCCTTGTATCTCAAAATATCGGAACCCCAGGATCATTGTTCCTGTGAATGGCCTATTCCCCTTATAGGGGAATAGCTATTACTAGGGCTACCCTATTTTATTATTATTATTATTATTATTATTATTATTATTATTATTATTATTATGTATAAGGGTAGTTAGGTCTTCACATATATATTCCATTTCTATTCCTTAAACCAACCAAACACTGGAATAACATTTCTAAAGTCTATTCCTTCAACGAACCAAACAATAGAATACAATTTCTATTCTATTCCTTACCTATTCACTTCCCTATGAAATAGTATTTATATTTCTTCAAAATTTATTTCGCGAACCAAACGTGTCATATAGGTGATAACTAATTGGCTGATCAATTTAGTTATGATTGTCCCATGTCACACGCAATACTTGGTATGATGGCATATGATAACATGAATAGATATCACTTAATAGTATTTTCTAATAGATATTATGGAGTAGAAGCTAGTTAAGTAGGAAAATTATACTATGGATCATAACCCATATTACAAGTTGAATCATTGATAAATGTTTATTTTTAATATTGTTGGTTTTACTATTTTTGCCTAGCTAGTTGCCAGCTGACGAACACAACCATTGAAAACGAAGAATGTGCTAAGGGCGAGCAATAGAATGCTAAAGACTTAATTAACGCAAATATTTTAGCACAAATTTGCCTTAAGCCTTCGAAATTCAGATATATTTAATTCTGTTCCAATTGCCTTCTCTAAATTAAAAAATCTCTTCCCCGATATACAATAGGAAAGTGTGGCAAATTAAGTAAGAAGTTTCATAATCCAATTTTAAGAAAGATCTTATCTAAATGTCGTGGATTCAAGCTTTTTTATACCTCGTTTACTATTTCTGAAAATCACCAACACCTCGTCAAAGTCGAGAGCCACTTGTACGAATAGCTTCCAAGAGCAGGAGCCAACCAACAACTTCTAGGCCAACTGCCCAATCACTAGTACCACCCCTAACAAATATATTCAATGTTTATTTCTAATGTACTAAATATTAATTTTTAGGTAGTATACAAAAAATTAAATTTGCAATACAGTAAAAATGAGTACTCAATATATTAAAAATGAATATTCAATGTACTATAATTGAATATGTGCATCAATAGTCCACATTATAATATGGGTAATGGTTCACGGTATAATGAATAAATTAAGTACAACACGTCAAAACAAGCCTCCAACAATAGTCAATATCTACCCTTAAAACAAATTAATGATCTTTATCGATATTCGATAGTATATACTGTATAGTATTCTAATTATGGTTATAATCTTAAAATTGATGTACACTAGAAGTTTAAAATTCAAATTTCAATTAAAATAATAATTGAGTTGTACCAAATAGTGTACATGATAGTTGGCATATAAAACTATGTACGATAATTTAACCCTAAACTCACACTCATTATTTGATGAGCGCACGGAGTAACTTCATTCTTATATAATATCTTGTACATTACGTAAGAAAACAAAATAGTACTCCCTCCGTCCCGAATTGGTTGTCTCAATTGTTTTTTGCACGCTTTTTAAGGAATTAAAGTAAATGTTATGTATTTTTCAATTATGCCCTTCACTTTTTCACTTTTGGGAATAAAAGCAAAAGTCATAAGGGTAATTTGGGAAAAAATATAATGATGGTGATGTTCAATTTTGGAAAGAGGACAACATTTTGGGACAAACTAAAAAGGAAAGTAAGACATGCAAAATGGGACAGAGGGAGTATTAGGATGACTTTGTGTGACTAACAAGTGACAACTTTTTTCAACTTTAGGAGGCTCTATCATGCTTTGATTGCTAATTGTATTGGTGCAGTATTGTAACGTTTTATTTAAATATTTTATAATTATTTTGTTGGTTCCAAGAAGAATTACTTACGTTCAAAGGTAATAGGGATGGAGACTTAATTAATTTAAGATGTATAATACCCACACTTCATTGTTAAGTAATTAAAGTTGGCAAGTAGCTCATTTTGATGGTATTAAGTATATGCCAGGCCAATTGCCATTTAGATATATATTCCCAACTCTTCCTTAAGTAACATTATACACACGTTACATGTCATTATTGCCAAGCATCATCGCGCTGGCCCCCACGGGTCACGGCGTCGGAGGAGGACTGGACGCTTTCTCACTTTTCACAGGGAACAAATATAGCCCACACGATTTTTCATTCGCTACCTTCATATCAGAAAGACCGCCGTCTCCGCCGGGCGCCTCCCTGTAAAAGGGGGCCGGGCCAGCGCGTCGTCCCCATGTCAGACGCCAAAGATGCATCATCTTTACTCCCGCCGGCGGAAGCTCCTCCCCTTCCGCCGCCGCTCCCTCCGGCGTCCCTCTACAGGCAAAACACGTGGTCGCCGGACACGTTCCGCGACGAGGCTTGGCGGCGCCGGAAGGGCAACCACGGGATCCGCCTGAGGGAGCGCAGCAAGAGCGTCACCAACGAAGACCTCGATGAGCTCAAGGGGTGTATCGAGCTCGGCTTCGGTTTCGACTCGCCCACCATGGACAAACGCTTGTCCGACGCTTTTCCGGCGTATGATCTCTTCTACGCAGTCAATAAGCGCTACAACAACTCCGTTTCAAAGTCGCAATGTGTATCATCCAACCTCTCCGATTACGGCACTCCCTCCCCCTCCGGCAGCCCCCGCGCCATATTCGGCCCCGGTAATTTCCTCAATCCCCTACCCATTATTCTTGTTATCTTGTTGGCTAGGCCCTCTTGGAGCCGAGCTGAGTTCAGTATTCTATCATATGGCACTGTATCTTTAGTTATGAGTTTTGATATACTAGTAAGCGCTTGATCATGACAATTGGTATCAGTCTCGTGCAGAAGAGTTCAGTATTCTGTCATGGCGGCATGACACACCTTTACTTATGAATTTTAATATACTGATAAGCGCTTGATCATGACAATTGGTTTCGTGCAGAATCGAGTTTAGTATTCTGTCATGGCAGCATAGCCCACTGCTTTTTTAGTTATGAATCACTACTGGAAATTATGGAATTTCCGATCAGTAATCTTAAATCAAGTGGAAAGCTTTGTTCCGACCACTTTTTACTTTCTATCACTTTCAGGTGGTCGAAAATTTAATAATTTTCAGCTGTGAATTTTGATATACTAGTAAGCGCTCGATCATGACAATTGGTATCAGTCTCGTGCAATTGACTATTGTTGAACAATGGATGCAGGGGAAAATCCACAGGCGGTGAAGACAAGGCTGAGGCAATGGGCACAAGTGGTGGCCTATTCTGTGCGGCAATCTTCAGTTTGATGACCAATTGTAGAAGATGAATGATCATATATTATAATCAAAATCAGAGGCAGAACAACATTTGACGAAAAGTACTACGTAGTAGTATGCCGAGACATGATCCTTTCGAGTAACTGTCCGCCGCCGGAGAATATCTTAGGAATGTTTCATAGTTATTCCTTAAACCGGCGTCCTGTGATGGTGCTCTACACACGTCGTTGTAAAGCAATGGGGAACACAACTTAAAGGCTTTTCTTTGATCTGTTTCAATGGTGTCTTTTGAATTCTAATTTTGTTGGTGTTTGAATCTTAGGCATCTGTGTATCTTACTCTAACCACTACTGATGATTATGTCCATGGCTTTTGGTGGCTTTGCTTTGGCTTTTGTTTTCCGCTTTTCATCGTTTCTACTGGGTTTAAGGTAGTGCTAGCTGCTACATTCGGTTTCATGTCTGCACTTTGGTTAATGGGATATGAAAACGTCAAAAGTTGTTTCTTTAATTGATTGCATATGCCTTGCACCGCATGTCCTGTCTGTAGAAGGAAGGTAGTAAAAATTATGATAACTTAAAGTTGGTTTTGTTCTAAAAGTCTAAGCTGATTGTTTAGTTCAACATGCTCTTTATGTGTGTGACTTGATTACTTTTGGACTCCAAACACCACGTAAACCATAGTCGGCATGACTCTGATACCAAATTGAAACATGTGCTCCATCTCAATTAAAAATAAAAGTCTAAGCTGATAATGAAATTACACATTAATAATTATATGTTCAACAAAAATAATAAGATATTGTTTTCTCCCAAAGTATACAGGTTGACTTCCCATAGAGTACACTTTCATCAAAGGTATAATGTTTTTCAAAGGTCTTAAAGGGGTTGTATAACAAATTTATTGGTACAATAATTAGGTTCTAACAAAATACGGGTACTTTTCAATTTTTGAGGTTGAAATATTGGTCACCTATGGGGAGATAGGTTAAGTTTGCCACTACTGTTCTAAATATCACATCACTACCTACCATTTGTTAGGATGGATCTGGTCATCAAAGCTCGTAACTCTAATCGGCAAAAGACAACAAAGAGTTAAATTAGTTTAGGTTGTCTAAATCAAGCCAAATCATGAAAGTCAATAGACATCTTCCGAATTTCAAGGGAACTTTGCTACTATGAATATAGATCACCATGACTCCATGAGCTAGCTTGATGGATTAGATTTTCCATTTTCTAGTAAAACATGATGAAAATAAAATCGTACGGATTAACATATAATCTAACCTAGTAAAGAGGTAACTCCTCGGTTACGTGTTTCTTTCAACAATTTGAACGTACTTATGCAAGAAAGGAGTACGATGAGATTATACTCCTTGTTCGTAAAGCTTCACCACCATAGCGCTTGTTTAAACCATGAAGCAAAAGCAAAAGAAAACCTCAAAAATGGGTTTGAAATATCTTGTAGATGGGGTGCAAGAGAAGTCAAAAGAACAGTACTCCGTACTCTATAAAAAATCAAACATGATTTTCAAAGATATTGGGTTAGCATAGTAAGATATAATGTTTGTGGTTTTATGGCTATTGCAATCAAGAACCGTCAGCACAACCGTTCTGAATATTTGCTAGAGGTGGTAAGAGATCACTATATTGCTTTGAAGTATGAGAAATTATAAACCCATTACACTTTATTTTTCAGGGTTTATGTACATGTATGCTTCCCCCCAAATTAGGAAAGTAAATCCTTAAGATTTGCTAATTGATTACAAATTGATTGAATTCTAAACGTAGTAAGTGTTGAGCATATATTAATGTGCAATTCAACTATTAGCTTAGACTTTTAGTTGAGATGTAGTATATGTTTCAATTTATTATTGGAGCCATGTCAAAGATCATGGATTCATGCATGGGTTCAAATCAAAAAAAAAAAAACTACAGTCCACGTGTTGTTTGGAGCTCAAAAGTAATTGGCCCTCACATGTGAGGGGTGTCTTTTTAAACGTTATTAATCCGATGATCAAATTCACTAATCACTAATTAGATAATCGCTAACTGACATCATGGATCCACCACCTATGAGCTTTCCGTCTTTGTTGAGTGATTTGAGTCCCATCAACGTCGGACCCATGTGTTCATTTGCTTCCAGCTTTAAACCATTGACTCACTCGATGATGTTCATTGCTCTCTACCATAATGTCTTGATCACAAACTCGGCAACTCGAAAGGATATTAGGAAAGTTGCAGTCCGTCCACGGAACCTGTAGGCCTCATCAATAGAGATTCACACCAGCCAACACATTGTCCCATTGCATTATACTGAAGCTATGTAATGTAATATATAATGAATCTTATACTTTCTAATATGGCATGACAACATTTCATGGCTCTTTCTATGGGTCTTACATTGATTACTGATAAGAATTCTGGTTGATATATAAATTTTTTGTCAAACTTATACTTGTAATTTAGTTTAGAGTAAATACTCAAAATGGTCCCTCGACTATAGCTAAATTCACAAATTGGTCTTCGACTTTCAATTTCAACCAATTAAGTCCTTAACTTTGTAATTTTAACAAAATTTGATCCTCTGTCTATTTGACCGTTTCTTGACTGTGATTTTTGATGATATATATGTAATTTCATGGTCCATCATCAGTTTTTTAAGGTTCTGGTTGTATTTTCAGACCGCACTGTTACATTCGAATCCAGTGTCGAAAGCAATCTACCAAATCCGGTTGCCTTTCTTCATCGTCCCTTTGGATTCAATGTAGTTGAGTTCATACCAGAGCGAAGAAGACGACGTGTTTCCGAACCGGTGCAACGTCATCCTGGAGGCCTCCACATGCTCCGACGAGAGCTGAAAGTTTTTATGGAGATCGTCGATCACGGTCAACAAACGGTCAAATAGATGGAGGACCAAATCGTGTCAAAATTGCAAAGTTAAGGACTTAATTGGTTGAAATTAAAAGTCGATGACCAATTTGTGAATTTAGCTATAGTCGGGATCATTTTGGGTATTTACTCTTGAGTTTATATGATGTAGGTAGGGTCTAACTTTAGAGTTACTTTTTGGACTATCATAATACTTACAGATTAATATGATTAAATTCCTCTCTCTTTATATGATGTATTATATATATAAATATAAGGACAAAAAAATTATGTTAATTATGCACAAAGACATGTTTAGACCACTTAAGTGTCCAAGGGATGTTAAAGCCTTAAAGGTGGTGTGTATCATTCCTTCATTTGATTTTCACCTAACTTACCAATAATGCTACAACATCCAAATTAAATCACCTTACAAATGTTTCAGTGTACAACAACAATGTTTTATACGTGGAGATGCAACAACATTTGAGAATAAGAGGATTTTTTTTTAGGGATAATTTCATATTATCCTCTGGCTTTTAACGACTAGTTACAAAATACATGAAATAATAACAAACGTAAACTCCTTTCATATGTAAATGCCTTTAGGTTTAATAATTGGTTTCACTTTTTTATAGGTCCCAGCATCCACCTCAACGCCTACTATCTAACTCAAATTCAAAAATCCTTCTTCCCAAACGTTTAAGTTATTTACTCCGTAATTTTCAAGTTTTTTGTGGACCCATCAATTTATAAAAATTATATTATAATTATTTTTTATTTATTATCATTCTAAAGAAGTATTATAATTGTAATTATAATTATTACTATTTATATTAAAATTAAACATGTCAAAATTAAATTAAATTTGTAATTATAAAATTTCAATTCAAATAATATGGTATTAAAATTATATATATACTACATTTACATTGCATAAATTCAAAAAAAAAGTAGAAAAAAATTAAAATAAATAAATAAATAATAGCAACGACCATAAAACAAAAGTTCAGCATCCCATCAGTCAAAAATTACCCCATCAATTTTTAGCTCTACAAAATCCTCTATAGAGGCATGATGAGTTGCTCTTAATAAATAAATTTTTTTTTTTTGACTGAATGTGCACGAAATAAACTCTGTTCGTATGTAATAGTTTGTAATAATTTCATTACTGACAATCAAAAATGACTCTTAGATATAATAAAAACTAAACTAATTCATTGCAACACGTTTAATTTTTAGTTCATCAAACATTATTCATAAAATAAATTTAAAAATATACTTAGTGGTGTCTGGTAGTTTGTTACCCGCTGGGATTAGCATTTTAGTTGCACTTCTAATCTGGTGGGGCCAATAAATAAGATTTCTTGCACTTCTAATCTGGTGGGGCCAATAAATAAGATTTCTTGCACTTCTAATATGGTAGGGCCAATAAATAAGATTTCTTGTCTTTTTTTTTTTTTTTTTTTTTTTTTTTTTAAGTCAACCATTGGGTTGTATTTATAGATGAATCAAAATAGACTCAGGAGGGACATTGTCCCAGTACATCGGTACTGTATAATTAAAAGCAGCTGCTGCTAAAGTATGAGCTAAGGTATTTTGCGATCTAGAGATAAAATTAACCGAACAATAATCAAGCATATTTAAATAGGTTCTGCAGTCTACCAGGGCGTAACCAAGATAGGATCGTGCCTGGATAGTAGCTGACGACAAATAAGAGAGTAGTGTCTGACAATCTGTGAAGAGGTTAACTGATTGTTCCCCCCGGTTCTTGAGCCACGATAATACTTCTTTGCATGCCATAGCCTCCGCCATAAGTGGTGAGAAGCAACTTTGCGGAGGTGCACAAAAAGCTGATATATAATTGCCAGTGTGGGTGAACAACATTGCTCCAGCGGTGGCCGTCATGGTCGACGGGTGATATCCGGCATCGATGTGACACCGTCTTGGTTGGGGTAGATGGTCTTCGGCATGTTGCGGTGGCGGCTGTTGTTGCATCAACACGGCAGAGCTGGCCGGTACTGTAACATGCGGCAGTAGCGTGGGATGTTGGTGAGCAGCACTCGGTTGGTCGGCAGTGGCATGTAAACACTGCCATGCCTTCATAACGGCTAAGGCCGTGGCTAGGACTTTCTTGGGCATTGGTAGATAAGCATTCCACACCGCTTCATTCCGGGCCCTCCAAATATTGTATAATATTGCAGCTGCAAACAATATTGCATCAGAATCTAGAAGGCTAGATTGGCTCCATATGGCTTTTGCATAGTCACACAACACTAATGAGTGCATTATATCCTCATGCCTTAAACCACACATTGCACATGTCGGATCAATTTCCACCCTCTTTATAAGTAAGTTAGTAGTGGTGAGTAATATATTACTCATAGCTCTCCATAGGAACATTTTCCATTTTGGTGGTATCTTGAGGTGCCATAGGGTGTTCCATTTATCAAAACCCATGTTAGTATTATAGGTACCCACTATAAGCCTGTATCCATTCTTCACCGAGTAGCATCCATTAGGATCTCCATACCAATACCAATTATCCTCATAATCCGGGGAGATGGGGATCTTTAAGATTCTAGGTATATCATTTGGATGAAAAATATCTGCTAAAATGTGGGGATCCCATGACCCAGTTGTTTGGTCAATCAACCCTGCAACCTTAGCATCTGCTAATTGTAGTGGCATCTCAGTTTGGACCATAGGATCCAACTCATCCTGGAGCCAAGGATCCTTCCATATTGAAGTCGATTCACCATTCCCAATACGTCGTCGCACCCCACTGGTAATTAATTCTTTAGCAGCCATAATACTCCTCCAGCAGTAGCTAGGATTATTCCCTATACTTGCCTCAGAAAAAGATAATTTAGGGTAATACCTAGCTTTGTACACACGGGACACCAATGAGTCAGTATTTGTTAGGAAACGCCAAGCCTGTTTCCCCAACATAGCCAAATTAAATGCCTTCAGATCCTTGAAACCTAGGCCTCCATATTTCTTGGGTGCACACAATTTATCCCTTGCATTCCAATGAATACCCCTGTTAGTTCCTGATCCCCACCAATATCGATTCATTGTTCGTTCAATAGCCGCACAGACCGATACAGGCAATAGAAAAACACTCATTGAGAAAGTAGGCATTGCCTGGGTACACTTTTCAATAATACCTCTTTACCTGCCTGCGTTAAGAGTTTCTTATTCCACGAGCTGATTCTTTGCCTGATCTTATCCTCAATATATGCAAAAGCAGCCTTTTTATTCCTCCCTACAAAAGCCGGTAATCCCAGATATTTTCCAAAATTTGGAGCTTGGGCAACACCCAGGATCTGCGCCACCATCTCCCTATCCCCACTGCATGTGTTCTTGCTATAACAAATACTAGATTTATGGTAATTGACCATTTGTCCTGAGAAGGTTTCATACCTGGCCAAACAATTTTTAATCTCAACTGCCTCATATTGCTTAGCTTTAAAAAACAAAAGGCTGTCTTCTGCGAAGAATAAATGAGAAATCGGTGGTGCTCCTCGTGCCACTCTGCAGCCATGAATTAAACCATTATCCTGTGCCTGTTGAAGTAGTAGGGAAAGCCCTTCTGCACATATAATAAAAAGATATGGTGACAACAGATCGCCCTGCCTGAGACCACGTGTAGGCGTGACTGGGTCACTAGGAGAGCCATTTATCAAAAACCTATAAGACACTGTAGTCACGCATAACATAATTCGTTCCACCCATCTCTCATCAAATCCCAAAGCTTTTAACATCCCTTGTAGGAAAGGCCATTCCATTCGGTCATACGCCTTTGCCATATCTAACTTTAAAGCTCCCCAGCCAACCGTTCCACATTGTTTCCTGTTCAGAAAGTGGCCCACTTCCGCTGCTATCAAAATATTGTCAGTAATGAGCCTATCCGGTACTGAATATAACTTAAACCCTCAGATAGCTTAAATGAGATTACTGAATATAACTTAAACCTAACCACGTTTAAATTATTTAATTTATTATTAAGAAATAAAAATAAGAGATATTTTTATTCTCCTCTAGTCCTCTAGATAGAGTTGTCAAAACGAGTTAAACCTGTCAAGTTAAGTTGTCTAGCCCAGCAATAAAAGCGGGGCGACTTTGATTTTTGGAACCCGCCTAGTTTATATATTATTTATTAAGATTTATTATTTTAATTTATTAGTTATTATTGTGATTAACAAGAGTTGTCAAAACGAGTTAAACCTGTCAAGTTAAGTTGTCTAGCCCAGCAATAAAAGCAGGGCGACTTTGATTTTTGGAACCCGCCTAGTTTATATATATTATTTATTAAGATTTATTATTTTAATTTATTAGTTATTATTGTGATTAACAAAGTGAAAATGGTGAGTTTGGTCCCTGAGTTATAACCATAGTGACGACTCAGTCCCTGTGTTATTATCATATCCATTTTTAGTCCCTCGGTTAGAGAGAAGTGGCAAGTTTGGTCTCTGACGCTAATTGTGCGTTGACAAAGTTAAATCCAAGTGTAAAGAAGTAAATTCATTAATAAAACTTGTATGTAATATAACTTGTCCACCACCACCCCCCCCCCTTTTCCCCCTTTCGCAAACTTAGCCAAAATACTTTCTCCCCAAATCGACGAAAGCCCTAAGTTTCTTATGTAATCAGCGAAGAAACCCTACTCTACTTCCGTTTTTCTGAAAAATCAAATTTCAATATTTCAGTTATATTTAAAAAAAAAAAAAACTTAAATTTCAATTTTTTGACAAATACAAAAATTTACTCCATAACGTGGACAAGCTTGGTATCTTTTTCCTCGATTAGCATAACTCAATGGCATTCTAATGGGTAATAAATCATCACATTTACATAAAAAATCATCCCCAAAATTAGGAAAAGATGAAGTACTAAGAGATGACATCCTATAATTAATGACTAAAATAGTTCATCAATACGTGGAATATTGATTATTTATTTAAACATATAAAATAAAGAAACAACTTACCTGTGAATTTCGCAGTTTGAAAGTGGACAAATTTGAGATTTCGGAGCTTGGGGAAGAAAAAGACCTTCGATTGTAGGTATAAGAAGAAAAGAATGAGTGTTGCGTAATGGGTTTCAACATAAGAAGGGGATTATAATTTGAAAATCCTATTTTACCCCTCTATTATTAAATTATTTTTAAATTTTTCGTTAGCTGCAAATGAAATATTAACGTTGAGGACTAAACTCACCACTTCGCTCATAACTGATGGACTAAATTCGGATACTATCATAACGTAGGAACTGAGTCGAAACATGGTTATAACTTAGGAAATAAAGATACAAAATATTTCCTTTAACAAATGTTTTAATATTTATTTAAACTATCTAAATTATTTTAGATTGCATTTATTAACTTTTACTCAAATTCAATATTTTTAGAACTTGATAGGGATAGTTATGTTGTGCATCCGTATGCACCATGCATGGTGCATACGGATGCAAAAACGACGTCGTTTTATTAAAAACGCGCGTCTCCCCTTAAAAAAAAGTTTCAAGTTCGATTCCCAGCAACAGCATTATGTTGTTCATTCATTCTGGAATTTTAGTTCATAGATTATGGAATTATAGTTCATCGATTCTGGAATTGTAGTTCATCGATTATGAAATTTTTGTTCATAGATTATGGAATTTTAGTTCATTTATTCTGGAATTTTTAGTTCATAGATTAGATTCTGGAATTTTAGTTCATAGATTCTGGAATTATAGTTCATCGATTCTGGAATTATAATTCATATGTTGTTGCTGTGAATCGAACCTGAATTTTTTTTTTTTAAGGGGAGACGCGCGTTTTTAATAAAACGACGTTGTTTTTGCATAATTTGCCACTTGATAGCCCTTGTCATGGCCGGCGGGCTTAGGGTGGGATCTGTGGGCCTACCATTTTAGGCCCACAATACGGGTAGATTTTAAACTCCCGCTAACTAATAACTGTTATATCGTACACCAGGGTACACAATGTATTGTGCGCTTTAAGAATAAAAATTTTTTGTTTTGTATGTACATAATTGTATAGTAAAATACACATAAATTTTTAATATAATACATATAATCTAACACAATACATAATACACATGAACTCTTAATATAATATACATAAACTCTCAGCATAATATACATAAATTTTTAACATAATACAATAAATTCTCAAGACACTGTGCCCTGTTGCACGATATAATTTGCCGCTAAGTAAATGGGGGGCTTTGATGGGTCTAATTACCCGCAAATTTACATTGACGGTTCTACTTCTACATAGGATAATTTGCATTTGTTGAAGATTGGCATTAACATCATTTTGATAACGACGATAAAATAATCAAAATTATTAAATTTCAAGTCAAAATTTGTATATAAACGTGATTTTTTTTTTTTTTTGTCTTTTTTGTTTTATTAATCGTGGGAGGATTACTCTCAAATTGAATGCTTAGTTGTTGACCTTCCACTTGTAATGGTTTTATATTAAAAAAGAATGATTTCATGCACTTTGTTAGGTTATTTTCATCAGGTGTTTTCTATGAGTATCCATTTTTATTTTATTTTTACACAATTAACGTATATATGATTACTAAATTTTTATAATATTTAGTTGTTCCGATCAATTTGTAATATTTTTCTTTTAGAATAATTTAGAAAATATCGCAATCTATGTTCGACTAAACCCTACCTATGCCTCAATGTTGAAAGGGACCCTGGGTCATCTCTCTCTGTTTTTAAATATTTTTTTAATACCTAAGTAAATTTGAATCGATAATTTTGAATTTGTTATTTAATATTGTTCCAACTTGACCATCGCAAGAAACCGATGGTGTTTGAGCATTAATAATAATAATAAGTATAAGCATTTTAGATTTTATATTACCAAATATTAGAATTAAAATTTCTCGTAATTTGTTCATACAAATCAAACACTAGAATTTTTTAACTTTTTATATTATTCTTATATTATTCATCTCGCATGAAATTCCAATTATTTTTCCCTTATAATTATCTCCTTCTAACCAAACGTCCTATTATATTTTGATTGAACCCAATAAATTATTGGTTCGTATATTCTTAGTTATATTATATCATAATACAAGTTTGATATAAATATCGGATATTTGAAATTTCACATATATCAGACTTTAAATTAAAGTAAAAATTATTTATATATGTTTAATTCAAAATGAGTATATCCAAAAATATTTCAAATATTAGTTCAAAAAAAATTATTAATAGTATCTAAATTACATTTCATGTGAACCTAATATGTTATTAGTTCGAATATATTTTTAGTTATGTTATATACAGATACAAATTATTAATAGTATCTAACCTACATTTTATGTGAACTTAATATGTTATTAGTTCAGATATACTTTTAGTTATGTTATATACAAATACAAATTTAATTCGAATATCGAATATAAAAAGTTTACATAAAAATTTTATTTAAATCAAACATATCAAAAAGTATTTTAAATATAAAGTTTAAAAATCACTCAAAATTAAATATGTTAATCTAAAAAGTAATAATAAGAAAGAACAATTTCATTAAATAAATTCGTCATAGTTTCTGAATTCTTCACTTTTAAAAGGAAAATACTACATGTACTCTTATTCTATACTCTGAACTTATACTTTTATACTTAAAATATTGATATAGACACTTTTATAAGGATTCACATGAAAAATGGCCAATCAAATCCCATCACGTCAAAAAAATAAATTTAAGGGAGTAAAATTTAAGAACACATGAAATAGATCCCTTTTGAAATGCAAAAATCGAAAGTCAAAGTGGGACATTCCACAGATTTGTAGTCTTTGTCACGCCAAATGCGTTAAATGTGGAACTGGGATGTTCCGTGGTTAATGGTGGGCCCAACCTCGTACGACAACTGGGTAAAGTATCGACGACGGCTACGTTAGATGCGTAGAAAACCAAGAAACCATGTCACCTCCTCTTCTTTCTCAACATTTCTAGAAGCTTAATAATTTCCCCTCTTATCTTCTTTCTATATATTCTGCTTCTCAAAGATCGCCGCCGGATTGTCTAGAACAATACTTTGTCTACTTTCAGAGTTGCAGACATTTCGGAGGAGGAGTTATGATCGTGTTGTTGCGGGGAAATAGCGGCGGCGAGGAACAAGAGGCGGCGGCGAATTAATTAATGGAAGAAGCTACGATCACCGTCGTCCGTTCTTGCGTTTTCATCTTCGGATTTTACTGCTGGGGCTGGGAATTCCTCACCGCTCTCCTTCTCTTCCGCAGCTCTTTCTAAATCCTTAATTCTCCTATAAATTTTCTGGGTAGCGCTAGAGTGTTTTTTTTTTTTTTTTTTTTTTTTGGGTTCCACTTCAGATTCCGCCTTGCGGTTTAAGTCGCCGGAGAATAGAATGTCGCAGAGGACTGTTCCGGCGCCGTTTCTGACGAAGACTTTCCAACTGGTAGACGACCCGACCACCGACGACGTGGTGTCGTGGAACGACGGCGGCGACACCTTTGTGGTCTGGAAAACGGCGGAATTCGCCAAGGATTTGCTGCCGAATTACTTCAAGCACAACAACTTTTCCAGCTTTGTCCGGCAGCTCAACACCTATGTAAGTCCACATATATTTTTCTCAACAAATTCTTAATCTTTGCTAATGAATAATCATATATGCATTAGTTACAGTATTAATGTATTATTATGACTCTGGCATCATCAATACACAACAACCTGTCTACTGAGAATAATAATAATAATAATCTTGTAATGAATCCAAACAAGTTGCCTTTTGTTTAAAGACAATTGATTGTTTTAGGTGTGAACATTGACTGTTTGATAGCAATTTTGGTCACATGCTGAAGATAATTCTACTCAAATGGTCAATCAGAGTGGTTGAAGAAGCCATCATTTTTATGCCATTTTGTATATCATTACTAGAGAAATCACCCATTTCTTTGGATTACGACGGAAACCCGTAACTACTACTTGGACAGTATGTACCGGTAAACTCAATCCCTGTGACCCTAATAGGCAGAAGACTATAAGGAGGTAAATCAACCGGCTCGAACTAAAAAGGCTAATAAGCTGCTTGCACAAGCAATAAGCTGCTTGCACAAGCAGTCAGCTTTTAACTTTGTGGTTACCAAGTTAACAACTTGGATCGTATCAATGCCAGACTCAATTCCTGTATTTCCCCCACCAACCATCCTTCTAGGTTTCATTGTATACTAAAATGACAACATGTGAACTGCAGTAGGCAGTAGTCAATTTAAGACACTTTGGATTCATGTAGGTTAGCTGGTTAGGTGAACAAAATCAAAGTTGTGGAAATTTAGCGATGTGAGAACACATACAAGAATCTCCCAACCTGTTTAGGCGCTCCGATTTCTGTTTCAAGAAAATTCTTTGTCAATACTTGAGAATTATGGGCTTGACTGCATGAAAGCAATTTCTTTTTTTTCCCAATAATACGGCTTTTAGTTCCTATGGGGGTGTTTGGCAATTAGCTTTAGCTGATAGTTGATTGTGTTAGTTGTTTTGATCAGCTGATAGTATTAGTTGGTTATAGAAAGGTGTTTGATTATAAAAAGAGATGAACTCTAACCAGATGACCATATATCGTGTTCTGACAGGGCTTCCGAAAGATTGTGCCAGACAAATGGGAGTTCGCGAATGAGAATTTCAAGAGAGGTCAGAAAGAGCTTCTCACAGAAATCCGACGGAGGAAAACTGTGGCGTCTGCACCCGTCACTGGAAAATGCAACTCCTCGTCACCCGAGAACTCTAGCGACGAACCTAGCTCGAGTTCCACCTCGTCATCGAACACGAAGAACCCCAGATCAGGGAAGCCACAGTTGGAGGATTTGACAGATGAGAATGAGAAGTTGAAGAGAGACAACGAGGTGCTGAGCTCCGAGCTCGCGCAGACCAAGAAGCAATGCGACGAGCTCGTGGCTTTCCTGACTCAGTACGTTAAGGTCGCCCCCGATGAGATCAACCGCATCATGACCCAAGGAACTCGGTCCAGCCACAGCGGTTTTGATGGTTCATCAGCTGATTTAAACTCAAATGACAGCCAGGACAGCGACAACGAACATGGCGAGAGTTTGAAGTTATTCGGGGTGCTGCTGAAAGAGAAGAAGAGAAAGCGGAGCTTCAGTGGAAACATCGAATTTCCCAGTGCTCATAGGAAAAACGCACCATGGATGAAAATCTCTTCAGCACCTGGAGACACCAGCAAGGTCTGTAACTGATAGAATAAAATAAAGCTGTTTTGCAACAAGTTTGTAGTTCGAAACATGAATCTTTTCGCAATGTTGTTTAATGCTATACTATTCGAGGATGTGCATTAGATAAATATTGCATTGTCATTTTAGCTAGGTAAAGTAGTATAAGATTGCTTATAACTGATCGACTTAAATTACCAGAAATGTTTGATTTGATCTCTATAGTTCAATTAATTCCCATTATAGATCAAAGTGGAATCAAATTTAATTTAAGGTCGGCGGCTATGCCAAAACAAGGTTAATGTTAGGCATTAAAACACGATACTATATATACCTGGAATCATGAAAACTGTCCACAAGTTATTTCCTTAGTTGCAAAGCCAACGGTTTCTGGTACGAGAACTCAACCTCAAACCAACCAGAGGGAAAGATTATATTCTCGTATTTGACGCATTATCTGACGACATTCTTGAAAAACAGGGATAGATCAGAATCCTGTTCAAAGTGGATCCATCGTGCAGGAATAAGAATAATACTTACTAAAGTGGAGAATTTCAGTTCTGGGTTGCATTATTCTACCGCGTTTCAAACCTTACATATATGATATATGAGAGCATCAACCCCATATCGGCATAACAGTAAGAGAGAGAGAAATTAAAGAGAGAGAGAGTATCTTGATATAATAATGTCGGGTTTCCTCAACTTCCGCGGTAGTTTCTCAAGAAAGTCGTCTTCGCCGGCGGCGGCGGCGGTTAAGGAAAGGCCGAAAAAGACGGCGACATCCACGCAGGTTTTCCAACCAAACATGGACGACATGAGAAAGGTGTTCAGCAGGTACGACACCAACGGGGACGGGAGAATCTCTATGGAGGAGTTCAAGCTGGCGATGCAGGTGATCGGCGGCGGCGGCACGGAGGCGGCCGGGGCGTTCGAGGCGGCGGACTCCGACGGAGACGGCTACATAGACTTCCAGGAGTTCATCGCCGTCCACAACCTGGGAGGGGGGATCAGCAAAGCTGACATCAAGAACGCATTCACGGTGTTCGACTTGGACGGGAACGGAAAAATCAGCGCCGAGGAACTGTTGCAGGTGCTGCGGAGGATGGGAGAGAGGTGTAACTTGGATTCTTGCCGGAAAATGGTGAAGGGTGTCGATTCCGACGGCGATGGACTGATTGATATCAAGGAATTTACGAAGATGATGACGGCCGCCGGCACCACCAAACGTTTCTAATTTATTTGTTACGAGGATGTTTTGTGTTTATGCAGACAAACTTCAACAACTAAGGGAGATGGTTTACTTGTTTCCAGTCAATCTCGATGGAACAATAATTGAAGTTAACATGCAGATTGGTTTAATTTAGCCGTAACGTTTTCCTATTTAAAAATTGTTAGGGTACGAGAGTATGTGATTTGAACTTGTTAGTATAGAGAACTAGAGAAGAACCACAATTTCGATCAAGTGCGCTTGTACCCAAGCTCAATTTTAGCATAAAGTATTTGATACTATATGACAATTGAACACCTTGTGATTTTTTTTTTAAATATTATATGAAAATATTTATATATTTTGAATATAATTGACATTGAGATTACAAGTTTATACGTTACACGTTTGAAAAGGTATAAGAGTAGTTTCTTTTGAAATTTTTTGTTGGTTTTTGTGGGAAAGAAAAAAAATCATACATTAGTTTTTGACAAATGAAAAGCATGATTTTTCATTTGACTTTTTCTCTTACAAATCAAGGATCTTTGTGGCACCCGATCAAAAGCCAAATGAAGCATTCTCCAGCACGGTCACTGTCAATCTTTTCGAACCCCAACCCTAAGGGTCTCCCACATCCCACTAAACATGAACTACAGAGGCTAGACCTTTACTTACTGCGCACAAGGAGTCCCCTCACTTTGAGTGGTAGCTCCGTCATTCTTCCAACTTTTCACTTCTATGACCAGTTGAGCTGTCCATGCGGGTAAAATTTGCTACTCATGCTCTAAGTGATGTTTGACTTACCACTTTGTAAACTTTTTAAACAATGGGTGCAAATCCTTCAGTTCCATAATAAAAGATTTGTTTACTTTTCATTAACACACTTTTATTTCCTAGTTATTCTACTTTCAATTTTTACATTGTTTTGTAATGATTTGATGGGTGGGGACGAGGACGCTGTCCTCATCCTCGTCCCTTGTTCGTCAAGAAAAGCTTGGGGGCCACAAGGCAACAAGAAGGGTTTGATGACACGCAATCAGATGAGTGTGGTGGGTGACACTGAATTTGTTCCTCAGTCTTAGTAGGGTTCTTGTGCTCGACTCGATCAATAGAAAATTTCAGAACACAATTTCTTATTTTTAGATGGAGTAATTATTAGGATGAAATTTGGTTTCCATGTATAGCTTACAACATTCAATGTTCGTCCTTGTATATAAACCATAGAAAAGGGATTTTAAAGGGTTTAATTTGAGATCCTAGTGATTCAATTTAGTTACCTTCTTCGTTTTTTGAGTATTCTTAATTACTTGTTTTTTAAGTGTTCATATTATTCCACATTTGATTGCTAAGTCATAAATCAATAAATTTTTCATTGTGGACGATAAATTCATCGTCTGAATTAATAAGTATTTGGTTCCAATTTAAATGAATTAAAGTGTAGAAGTCAAAGCAATGCCAAAGCCAGGCCTATGTAGGCCACAACATTTGCATCCATCTATATCTCTACATACTACAATTCAATGATATCATTATTATGAAATATGTCTCAATTCTCTTCTCTGAATCATTCTGATTCTCTTATCATAGCTACAACCATTGACGACAACTACCTCTGATCTTGACAAATCCAATAATGTCACCTCTAGCTAGCTAGCTACCTATTATACCTAACATTATTATTGATTTATTGCTTCTTAATTTATGTCTTCTAATTATCTTTCACCAACACAACAAGTTGGCTTCATTTGGCGACATGAATATCCCCACACACAAGGATGGGAGCTGATCTGATCAGCCACTCTCAATTTCGTTTTCCTGCATTATATATACACCATAGAGCGATGGAGACATGTGCTCCAATAGTAATATCTTTAATATTTGATTGGTCGTATGTAATTACAGTACCAACGATTTTGTATCTTTTGAGTAGTACAGTGTAATAAAATTAATTAAACAAAATGATGTTTTTGGTCCTCTAACTATAAAGTTTTTTTTTTTTTTTTTTGAAGAACCTAACTATAAAGGTTTTAATGGACTCAATCCTGCAATTATATATTTCTCAAGGCTAAACTTGCATTGTAAATTTATCTCAATTTTATATTTCCCAATATAGAGATCATACTATTGAGAAAAGCATTTCAGTTTTTCAAAATTTTTTGTAACTTCAACTCATATAATTTTTTCTTTAAAGATCGACGAGGAGAGGGGACCCCAAATGAAAGATGCTAGCTGATTTTCTTCGCTTTACGAGCACTTCTGATCTAGCACGCACTTTGCCATTATTGAAAATAGCCCCTTCAATCCCAGGGAAAGGACATTAACTTCCATGCACTCGATCAGCCCATTGATGAGCACTCAACACCTAAGGTTGCAAGGATATCAACAACCTTACATAACTGTGAGTAGCGACTACCCAAAGGTGCACTCTCGGTAAAATTTATCTTGTTACCCTAGATGGTAAAAAATTTACAATAAGATAAATTAGTCTAAGTTGTTTATATGTAATCGGCTCAAACCAATAACTAGTTGAACTTACGCATCTCATTTCTCCTCAATGCATGCATGGATAAGAGAAATGTGTGAGGGAATGAGAAAACTAAAAATGAACCATGAGAAAATAAGTTTTGAAATTGAAACTAGCTGTTACTAAAGGATGAGGGGGCCGGGGAAAAGACTATTACCACAAAAACTATATATATTTATAGAAAAAAAAAACAAAAAATAATAAAAAAATGGAAGCACTTAAGCTTCCCCTATGTGGTAAATAGTTTAATTTAAACCAAGCCTATTTGTATTTACTATAATATATATTTGTTGAGCTGCAATTTCTTGTAATCTCTGAGTCCATATAATATATTAATATTTGTTAGCTTCTTTTGGGAAGTTATTGACAATTATTAATTGTCATTACAGAATGAGATATGGGTAGAGGTTGGAGCAGCAATGTTTGGGCTGAAGTTGGAGAGAAGAAATTGTTTGGGCAAAAGTTGAAGGGTAGAAGTTGGTAGAGATGCTCTTTGGGTAGAGGTTGATGAGAGGAGATTGAGAAATCAATTTGGTTTTTTGAAATCCCTTTTTGGCAGCAACTATAAAAGGAGGCCAAATTCATTGTTTCTTATCACCACTTCTACACACTATACTACATTCATTCTTTTTTGGATTTGGGCTGGTGCTCATTCGGCAGTAGTGCAGAAAGGAGAGAAACACAACCATTTTCTCTCTTCTTTTTATCCTTGGTACATTTTATCGTGAGTTTTGCCTAAGCTCTTGGGTGCTTTCTTCATCAAATATTTGTAGAGGTCAGTTTGTTTGTTTCAAACATCGTTTTGCGTATTCGGGTAATATTTGTATTCTTTTCACCTTGTTTGTGGTGGTTGAATATTTTGAGTATGAGATACTATTTATTTTAGCCTGTGAACGTGATAGAATGTATTTGGCCTAGAGTTGTTATATTTGATGATTTTTGGATGTTTGGCTCGTGGAGTAGTAAAAAATTTTGTACCCAAAATTTATTATAGTGAAATATTTTGTTGGTGGTGGTCCGTGATTTTGGGATTTTCCACGTTAATAGTGTGTCTCTTGTGTTACATTTATTTTGAACTATTGTGAATTATCTCGTATTTATGCATCATTTCAGGTCTGTGATTTTCATTGTCACAGGAAGTGAGATTTTTTCCCAACAAATCGATTATACCCTTAGAATTGGAGATCTAAAGTGGCATTTTTACTAATGGTTGTTGAAATTTTACTAGCGGAGTGAGCGTATTTATGGGTCTAAGGTAAAATGATGCAGAAACTACTGTTGCATGCATGATGGTGCCGAGCTAGAAAAGGCAAAGAAAATTGAAGTGACATATTTGACTTGTTTCCCTAAACGCCATAGAACAGCAAACAGGGTTGCCAGATAATATACACTCAACGTTGAATGCCAAACCAACAAGTGCCGACAAACAGCTATCTCCTCAATCTGCATGCAGCCATTCACTCAATCCCCGACATATATTTTCATATATCCTACTTCTCAACTTCTTCTACATACATTAAATCGTCGATTAAAGTTGTTTCACTGATGGGGAGATGTGGGAGTACATTTTGTGTAACACTGGGTATTTACCCAACTATAAATACAAACATCTGCTGACGGGTTGGAATAGTGGCAGTGGGTCCCCTTAGAATATATATGTAGAGCTTGCATGTGTAGGGTACCCGGGTAGGGATCGGATGTGATTGACTCGTCGGTCCCGCTACTCGACTCCATTCTTGAAGGAGTCGATGTATAGTAGCTAGGAGTCTTTTTCATTCTCTATTGGATAACTTTATTCTCGCAATGAATCTGTTTAATTAGAGCCTGCACTAACTTAGTACTCAAATTGAGACCCTAACTCTTTTACAAAAGTTAGTTTAAAAGCGTTGGTTCAATTCTGAATTAAATACTAAGCACGTTATCTAAAGGAGGCTGGGGATGTAGCTAGGTTCATATCATACACGTTGGTCTCGGATTATATGGTGGGCCTTATGAACTCGACTCAGGGTCCATGAGGAAATAAATCGAGTCAATTCAGTTTCAAAAATCAACACTAAATTGTACACTTTAATTTGCTCAAAAAGAACCCGGCCAACTAAAACCTAAACTTCTAATGTTCTGACAAGAATCAAATCCCCTACCTTACCTCCCTAGAAACAAGTTCAAAAGGAGACTTCTTATACAATAGACAAATGCTTTGGGCATGTGGAGTCATTTTTCATATGAACTTCACTCTTGACAAGAGTTGGTTTAAAAATAGATATTTGACCTAAACATAAGTATATATTACTCTATAAAAATTAAAAAGTCAGTGTAGGATCGTATCCGCTTGAACTTGACTTGATAACATCTTTTAATAGTCATGTTGGTAGAGACTAGTCGGTCCAACTACTCAATTCCATTTTTTAATTAAGGAGTCGATGTAGGAACCCTTTTCTTCTGATCTCCTTTGGAAGACTTTATCCCAACAATATAATGATGAACTTGTTTAACGAGAGCATTAGTACTCAATTTGAGACCCTAACTCTTTTACAAAATCTAGTTTAAAATTGTTGGTTCAATCCTAATTATATACTACTCACATTTTCTAAAGGAGGGGATGTAGGGTCATATCACACTAGTTGGTCCCGGATCATATAGTGAACCTAAATCGAGTCAATTTAGCTTCAAAAGTTAACACTAAATTATATACTTCTGCAAACAAAGAGCTCAACCTAAACCCCTAATGTTCGTGACAGGAATCAAACCATCCACCTTATTGCTAGAAACAAGTCTTACACAGAGACTTCACATCTACTAGATCATGCTTTGAGCATGTGGAGTAATTTTTTTTTTTTATAAACTTCACTCCTAAGACGGGGCTGACAAGAGCTGAGTTTGTTTAAAATTAAAGATTTGACTTAAATTTACTCTATAAAAAATTTGTATATAGATCGTATTAGGCCGTTCGAACTTGACTTGACTCGATAACACCTTAAGAGAGAGGGGAGTGGAGGTGGGGGTAGGGGTAGGAGTAGGCGTATGTGTGGGGGGTGGGAATTTATAGTCCTTAAACTTAATCCTAGCTAGTATAGACATCCCTCTAGCTAGCTTCTCTTGGCATGTTTACACAGAATGTACAGCCAAAACACAGAACAAAAATCATTTGGGGCTCCAACCAGCCCACGGATCTCCTTCTCCAATAACTTGGTGGAATTCATTGCCAATGGCAACAACGCTCGTTCTTCTTCCCATCATAATCTTCAGATGATTAAGAACGAGAGGTACGCCGCCGCCCCTGTATCTTCAGACTTTGAATTCTCAGTCGCCAATTCCTCCCTGATGAGCGGCGCCGATGAGCTCTTCTCTAATGGAAGGCTTTTGCCGTTTAAACAAGCTGCAGCCTACTCCGGCAACCACCACGGCCGGAAGAACACTCTCAGAGACGAGCTGCTTGCCCAGGATGAAGACGATGATGAAGAAGAAGGTGATTTCTCTCTAAGGCCGCCCAAAAGTTCTAACAAGTGGAAAGGACTTTTGGGGCTCAGAAAATCCCATATTGGGTCCAAGAAAGTTGACAAGAATGAGGAAAAGACTGATGAGATTCATGGCAGCAAGACTTCCCAGGTATTCCAACATTACAGACTAAAAAATTTCATTTTTTGGCAACCCATTTAAGTTATTTGATAAACACAAGATTACAAGTTCGACTCTCTATATGAATGGCCTATTGCAATTCTTGATTTGAACCGACTCTCTGTATGAATGGCCTATTGCAATTCTTGATTTGAACCGGTTATAGGCAACCTATACATGACGGGATTTACCAGTGCACATTATCGGATAGTGACTGCTGGTTTCCCTGTCACCTAAAAAGATTCAATTTTGCATTGTTTCTCCAATTTCTTTTGACATTTTTGCCTGAAAAACATGGATTTTTTGCAGGAAACATTGCATGGTGGAGGAGCAAGCATTGGTTTTAAAGGCCGAATTTGATGGGTTCTTACTTTGGGTAGTATCAGTGTAATTGCAGTCCTGCAGGAAATGGGATGACTTGTGTTTTTACTAGCAAGTTTAGGTAAAAACATTTGATCTTCATCGGATCATGTTAGTGGCTAATTGATGTCAGATTAGTATGGTGGTGTAGTTCTTAAAGCTCTTGACCTTCCTTAATTTCATCAAAACCTTGTACTGCACTTGTTCATTGTAGAGATTGTCTGATCTTATTGTCATGTTAATGCTCATCCCAGTTTATGAATTATGAAATTGTCTGAGCTTGGGCTTCACCATTTTCATGCTTCAGTAAGTAATCTCAGTAAGGATTCAGGTGAAGAGGGGGTAGGGTCAGCAGTCAAAGATACAGCTAAGCCTCAAGGTACAGAAGAAGCACAACCTTCAAAATAAAATCAAACTCATTTTTTTTTCTTTTGATAATTTAGGTTATCCGACATTATCGTATTATAATTTGAACCTCATGAATCTGTCTTAAATTTTTGAAAAGATGAATCGAACGAACTTAGTTTTGAAACTAACACTAAATTAAATACTTCTATACATGAGTTCAACTCAAATTCAAATCTAAAACCGAGATCTTTTTGTATGTCTTTTTTGGGTTATGTTAGGACTATAGGGTCAGTAGCAGGGTATTCATTAATTCCTATTTTGATGTATCTAGATTGCTCACTCGTGCTCCATCTCTTATAAAACTCTTTTGATGGAAATTCTATAATTTCCTAGTCATACTGTCACATGACAATACCTTGGGTTTGAAAATTAATTTAGATTTAGTTTGGGATGCATTCAGAACAATGCGCAAATTATTAATCGTTATGCTGTGAGTACGTGTCCACCTTACATGGTGCGTATAAATCTATATCTATAATTTCTATATTGTAGATTCATAATTTCTAGACTCTCGGTAATCTAAAATTTATACTTTATATATAATTTTTAAAATCGTAGGATCCATAATTTTTATACTGCACTGATTTGTGAAAACATGGTTCAACGATTGGAATCTAAAGTATAAATTTTAGCTCATCGAGATTCTAGAAATTATGGATCTACAGTATAGAAATTATGGATATAGATTCGTGCGCACCACGTGCATGGTGGGCACGTGCTCACAGCATAATTTGCTGCAAATTATATTATGGATAAGAGCCTACAATGTGCATTGTGATTTATAAATTCTGGTTCAAAATAATGTTATTTTATTTAAATTAGTGGGATCTTTTTTTTTTTTTCCTTACGGTTAGTCAACGTTTAGCTTTGTTGTAAATATATAAATAATATGTTAATTGTAGATACATAATTTTACATTTGTTAGTACATAATATGCTAACTATAAATGTATCATACCAAATAATTCTAAGTTTCTAACATTGTTTTACAAGTTCATAATATGTGAATTGTAGATTAATAAACTTAAAGGTTTATAAATTGATTGTCTGACATGTAATCATGATTATGGTATAGTTTAAGAGATATTTGGTTCAAAATTAGCAAGTTTTTATTATGAACTTAAGGTATTGGTTTTATAAACATGTATAATTAACAAATTATGTACATGTTCTAAATTTATATGTGAACAATACATAAATAAACTTAAACTAAAGGGGGAAATTTCAATTTTGGTCATATGACTATAGATACTTTGTTAATTTCAACACCGGACTTTCAAAAGTGTCAATTTAGTACCTTGACTATGCAATTTTTATCAATTTTGGTCACTCCGGTTAAATTTCGCAGAAAAAAACTTAATCCTTCATTTAGTCTATAATTTGAGGGGCAAAATCGTCTTTTGAATTATGGTAAAATCATCTTTTTTCTGGCGAAATTTGACCGGTAATTTGACCGGAGTGACCAAAATTGACAGAAATTACATGCTCAAAGTACTAAATTGACACTTTTGAAAGTCATGTACTAAATTAACAAAGCCCCTATAATCATATGACCAAAATTGAAATTTTCTCTAAACTAAAGGTTCATAAATCGAGTGTTTTTACGTGTAAACATGGTTATGGTATAATCTAAAGGCTTATTTAGTTGAAAATTAACAAGTTTTTATTATAGGCTTAAAATATTTATATTACAAACATTGGAGTGCAATTAACAAATTACGAACATATAGTACCAACGTTGTTTCTGATTGCACCACAAAAGTCACCATTTATATGAATTACAAAATAGTGTCGTTTTAAACTAAAGATGAACCTAGTTCACGATATTACGATTGCATAGGCTGCTAGTTTGCCAATCAGCCAATGTTTCTCCTCTTCCCTTGTCCAAAATCCTAACAGGATTTTTATGCACTTAAATGACTCTTATTTCCAAAGTACAAAAATCCTTGATTATAAACTGCAAATGGGAAATAACTATGAAAGATAACTTCTTCATGTCAATATAATACAACATTACAACCAAGATAACAACACAGATGATAGCGAAAACACGCTAGCATCGCTATTCGATCTTCTACCCTTTTATCTTCAACTACAAAACAGTTACCATTCAATTTTACCAGGGCGCATTAATTTCTTCGTCGAACATGATTTCAAAGCTCTCGGCTTTGGATCTCAGAGCCTCGATGTCAGCACTGTATACCTTAGAAGCTTCTTTCAGCTCGACGAGCTTTATTTCAATGGTTTTTATCTCTTCCTCGGAACGAGCCAGCCCGGTTTTAGCTTCCCAATACCTCTTCGCGTCTGAAGCGCCTTCCGATTCAAAAGCGAGATTCAGCAACTGTCGTACACGATCACGCAGGAACCCAACATTCATGCCCAGAAGCTCGAAGGACTTCAAGGACTTGTCCCACACTTCAAATTCTGTCCTGGCAGTGGTGAGCTTACAAGCTCTAATGGCATCCGCAATGCTTACAACTTCGAAAATCATGCCCGCAATCAACTGGCCGTAAAGACCCGACAGGAGACGGTCGTGAAGGAAAGCGTTCTTGCTGCAGCATAGCTCGTAGTATTTTCTTCGTATGTGGTCGGGGATTTCGGAGTCTAAGCATACACCATTCACCACGATGGTGAAGTCCTCGAAACTTTTTACGTCTCCGAAAGACGCAGCTAGGGTCAAGGCTTTGGAACCCTCGAAAACCTCGGAAGCAACCTCGTCACTATCGTTACCAGACTGTTCTTCCAACTGAACAAGTTGCGCCTTATGTTTCTTCCTCTGCACCACAGTCAAAGGAAGCGACTTCTGGCGCTTCTTTCTTTTGTTGTTAGGATTCGTTGCTTCTGCTGCTTCATACAAATGATTACAACAAAAGTGTGATGAAAAGGTTCAAGATCGAATTTTTCCGGTAAAATATTGTGGAGGCAAGTACCACTACTGGAAATTATGGAATTTCCGACCACCTGAAAGTGATCTTAAATCAAGTCGAAAGCCTTGTTCCGACCATTTTTGGTATCCGGAAAAACCTTTGTTGCTATTTCCTACCACTTTTTGCTTTCAACTTGATTTAAGATCACTTTCAGGTGGTCTACGCAACCATTAAGAAACGATAATAAGATCTTTAAATAAACCCACGAACAGCATCGAGGAAATGGACTTACCTGCATCACTTTGCTTTGTAAGGACTTCCAAATTTAGAAGGCTAAGAGCTCCATCCACGTCAGTTAAATCGTTAGTCCTTATTACATACACCTACAAATTATGAATGTATAAAGTCAGACGAACCTCTACTAAAGAATATCAAGTAACGATATGCATACTATTCGAATTTCTTTAATGAACAAGTAATAAGCAAAACATGAGCCGATGAATAGAAAATTCCAACATCACCTTAAATCGGTCCGGCCCAGTTAATTGGAATATCAAAACGTCCCCTTCAACCAACTTGTGAGCAGCCACAAATTTCCTCCAACCTGCACTAAGTCCCGTCTTCTCTGCAATGTATTTGATTTCAAATTCTTCCCCGTTTTCATTTTCAACGACAACTGTAGTGTCCTTCCTTGACAGATATTTCTTGCAGAATGGCACGGGCAGGCCCTAGTACGAAACAAACAACATCCTATGAATTAGTAAAACACTAAAACCCCAACTCGCCACCGGATTAAAGCTGAAGTATTCGACAGATAATTACCATCCAAAAGCAGCTGCCAACATGTGATCGGACTAGCAATTTCAGGAAAGTTGGATACTCTTGCCCTAGGCTCGACTGAACCTCCTCGGCACGAATCAGGGTAGGCGACTTGACTTGGAGAGGACTGCCACACCCATCACTCGGAGTTTTAGTGTTTCGATAAAAACACAGAAAACCATAGTTTTTGCATAAACAAAATTTAGAATGTTTATGCAATCTAGTGTGGAACTAACCTTGGAGACTTCCCCTTACCACCAGGACCTTCCTGCTCAAGAACAGAAAGAATTTATTCATTTATCCATACTTTTATCCACCAAGAAGACAAACAAAAGTAATCAAGTAGTATACACAGATTATATTTGGATTGATCAAGATAGCTTCAAAGATTTAAACTTGACATAAGAGTTCATAACTTCAGACAGGATTACAGGAAGACAGTTTACCCAAATTTTCAAAGACTGGAGATTTCTGGGTAAATCAAAGCCAAAAACATTTCATTTTTCACAAATTTCTGGGAAGATAAACAGTAGAATAAAGCTCACATGGCTAGACTGGGCAGCAGAAGGCTGCAATTTCTTCTTCCTCTTCCTGCTGAGTACCAATGGCGAAATCTCATCAATCATCTCCTTCGGCTTCCTCTTCCTCTTACCCTGCGAAAACCAAACCAGATCCGTCACAAAATTCAGCAAATCTAAACCCCCAATTTCAAAATTTCTATACACAGAAAAGCCAGAGAAAGAACACCAGATGCTGGGGATAGGAATTGAGAGGAGATGGAGAAGAGTTGGGTATGTTAACAAGGCTCAAATTCTCTTCATTGGGGTCCCGAGTCGCATCTTCTTCTTCTGGCTCAGCTCTTTCGTCTTCCACAATTTCCTTCTTCGGCATATCTGGGTCGCCGCGGTTTTCTTGATTCAGAACCACCTTTATCTTCATCGGGTCAAGATGCGATGCCCTCTGGGTCGCTGTGAACTCACGAAAGATTCTTGCTTTGGGTTGATTTCACCGGCGAAAGTGTAAAACAAGAGTCGCTGGCTGGCTGGCTCGCTGTGTAGATGTGTGTCTGACGGACAGCGCGAGACGGCAGTTTCCAATGTTTTTAACGGCCACGATTTAAAGAAACCCCTTTTTTACGTAAATCTAATGTCGCAA